GGAAACACTGATACATAATAAAACCCCAATAATGCATCTCTAACAATAAAATAAACGCGAACGTAAAACTGAGTTCTTTGAAGATTTACTGCAACAATTTCAGACTTGGGGGAGGGGGGGGGGGGTGTCGTTGCCTCAGGTGGAGGAGTCACTTGAGGCAAAGACTGGGCGTCTTGTTCTGTGACGGATCGATGAATCAGATTCTCATCCTCAGTAATGAGGGCGTTGCTCTGGTCAGTCATGGTGAAGAAAGAGTTGAGTCGAAAGGCAAAGCTCTGGATTTACTGCTTTGTTCCAACACTCACCTGTGGTCACGAGGTTTGGATCAGGACCCAAAGAACCAGATCCTGGATAATGAAATGAGCTTCCTTCGTAGGTTGGCGTGGGGGTGGCCTTAGAGATAGGAGGAGGGGCTCTGTCATTAGCGGGGAGCTCAGAGTAGAGGTGCTGCTCCTTCGCATCAAAAGGAGTCAGATGAGGAGGTTCATGTCATCTGGACGCCTCCCATTGGAGGATTTCAGTTACGTCCCAGTGGGAAGAGACCCAGAACTCTCAAGGGATTATAGATCCTCGCTTGTCTGGGAACGCCTTGGGGTCCCCCGGGAGAAGCTGGAGGGAGTCTCTGGGTAGAGGGAGGTCTGGGTTTCTCTCCTGGACCTGCTACCTCTGCACCCGATCACAGAAAAGAGGTAGAAGATGAAAATGGAGACATTCAGACCTGTCGAGTGGAAACGTTCACCTTTCAGGTCCGTCTCTTAAAACTTTAAATGGATCACGGTCGTCTTCACGAAGCTCGCGCTACGTGATGAGGATGACTCTCAGCTGCTGCCACACCAAATGTACCTCAATGTCTGTAAAACTGAATGATTGTCGTTTTTCTGTTGGATACGGTTGATTAGCTGTGGCTGATATCTTAGTTGTAAATCCAAAAAAAGGCCCAAAATGATGTAATAAATGTAATTTTATTGCTTCATGAAGTTTCTAGTTTAATAGAAGAAGATTTAAAAACTGGACCGTTAAGTCTGACTCGGTTCGATGTGATTTATTATAATAACGAGGACATTTATCAGTTTATTACTCAGAGACACGAGCTCCTTATTAAAGAAAACAGGAAATCTGTACAACAAAACAAACATTTATCTTTGTGTTAAAATTACATGTTAAATCCTCGAGCTGGACGTGATTGATGTTTACACAGAACGTTTTTATTTCTCCGTCCCGTTTAAATAAAACCGTTTGTTTTGCTGACAGAAATGTTTCCCTAATTGCTCCTCGAGGGACACGAGATGTTTGCTTCCTGTGTGTGTGTCTCAGTAGTTTTTCATCTTAATGGCTTTCAGATTTTAAAATGTTGCCGTTTGGACTTAGTTATTTGCAGATCAGTGAAGAAAAGAGTCTGAAGATTATTGCTGCAAATTTATCCCAAGTATTGAGCCAGGACTTTACTAATGTTGTTGTTGTTGGGATGTCACATTTTTATTATGTGTTGTTTCAAAAACATCTGTTTGTCTCTATTAGCAAAATATCTCACGAACCAATGGACAGATTTTGATCGCTGGATGTGCGTCGACAACTGATGAACCTTTTGAGTCGAACAAAATCAAGAGAAATGGCTAAAACTCTTAATTTTACAGATCTTGAGCTCAAACTTGGTGTGGTAGTAGCTGAGAGTCATCCCCAACACAAGCTCTGAGCACTAACGGATCGCAGCAGCAAGCAGGCGACGTGCACCCTCCACAAAGTGTCAGTCTGTCCCCTTCATCATTTTCAGATCCATTTAAGTCTTAAATCAGTCTCGTCTCATCAGTTCACGAGTTCAAACATGTCCTCTTTATGTCCTGGTGAAATATGGAACACTTTCAATACAAAATAAAATTAATATGATTAAATACAGCTCGAACCGTCACATTTTGGTGAAAAATAAAATGATGCTTGAAGTGAAATACTGTCACACTTATATTATTTGTTTATTTATATTAAATAAACCCTCCAGTCCCTATAATCTGAAATGTGTCGTTAAACTTTTAAAATATTTCTGATAACCGTGCTACGGACACGGATGACAATAATTTAACTTTCTCGTCCAAAAGCAGCTAAATTTTGTCCTAACTCACTGAGGTTCAGGCGTGTCCTCCAGCGTTTGTTTGTGCAACACGTTTATGCTGCGTTTGAGTCGTGTGTGTGTGTGTGTGTGTGTGTGTGTGTGAGCTTGGTGACGCCCCGCTGGTTAAACTCTTTGTGCTTCAGAGCTGAAGGAGGAGGTGGTGTACTACGATGTGTGTGAGGATCCCGAGGAGCTGCAGAGCCTGATCCACGCGGGGGTCCATCAGGTGGACTCCCCCCTCATCAGTCCTCTCCGGAGACGCCTGCAGGGCCTGGAGACCAAGAGAGGAAACATCTGCGCCAGGAGGGCGTACCTACGCAACAAGAAGGTGAGGAAGCCACCGCTGCAGCTCGTTCACTCCCAGCCTTCAGCCTTTTGAGATGGTTTAGTTCAGGGCTGTTCAACTGGCGGCCTGCGGGCCGTTTGTGACCTGGATCCGGCCCACCAAGGACTTCATTTAAATCTATATATATATATATTTTTTTTTCTTTTTGGGTTCTGGATTTGGGTTCTGTTTGTTGCATTTATGATTCAATGCAACAAAATAAACTAATTTAAAAGGTAACAGATCGTTGTAAATCTTAGTTTATTTACATAAGGACTTGAATCCCTGGATGTCCGGCCCCTGAGCTGCTGGATTTCAGTAATTGTGGCCTCCTGAGCAGTTTAGATGAACAGCCTTGCTTTAGTTTGTCTCGACATGGACGTTCAGATCAACATGGTTCAGAACCATTTGGGTCGAGTATGTGAAGAACTAACAGGTAACAGAGAAATAAAGAAGTACCAGTGATTATCAAAGTCCATGCTCAATAATCCCAGTACAAAATCCAACAAAGTTCAGTCAGCTCATCTACAGTTTCTTTTTTTGTTGTTGTTGTTGAAATGTTTCGTTCTTCATCCAAAGAACTTCATCAGTCCGAGGAGCTACAACAAACTCAGTCCCACAAGCAGCACACTCGCATAGTGGGCCAACCAGATTGATGGTGCTCAGATGGTTTCCGGGGCCCGCCCTCTCCCTCGTCGAGTCCTCTGAGGCAGCCATGGCCACAGTGGTTCAAAACATCAACGTTCATGCTCAATAATCCAGCGATTAGTGACTTCAGAGCAAAGACTGAAGAAACTCCCATGCCCCCCTCAACAACCTTAGTGAGGGTAAAGAGTTGGTCCAGTGTTCCACAGCCGGGACAGAACCAGCACTGTTCTGCCATCGACTGGACTCCCTTCTGCAACACTCCTGAACAGACCTGACCCAGGAGGCCTTTCATGAAGGTTTCAGATTTCACAAAACGGCTTCAGAAGTTTTTTCTGTCTGATTCGATCGCTTCTTGCCAGAGAGATTTTTACAGAACATTTAAAGTTTCCAGCCGGCTGTAATCTGCAGGGAGCAGGAATATTACGCCTGAAGGTTAAATAAAGCTTCCTTAATTACTTCATCATCTTTATGATGTCGCATGTAGCTCTTTTGATGGGTTTGACTTGTGTATTCACACACTCAATATCTAATTACTTTAAAGGGTGAACGTGTCTTAAATACATTTCTGAACACCAGGAGATGTTTTTTCTTCAGGATCAGTGCATGGAGGCTCAGGAGCAGAAGCAGTCAGCAGCCACGCAGAGCTCTTTACTCTTCAGCCAGCATCATCAGGTCCACCTGGTACGTCACCACGGCAACGGGGCAGCCCACACAGACGCCCCCATGCCAGCAGCAGTGACAGATGAAATGGGATCCATGAGATAATGTCTCCCTCTGTTGTTCACAGAAACGAGAGAAGAGGAAAGAGGAGGAGCAGAGCAGGAAGCAGTGGGTGGACCAGGAGCGAGAGAAGACCCTGAGCAGGTTACGGTCCTTCAGAGAGGTCAGGGTCTCCTTCTGTTGATAAAACCTTCCAGGTTCATCTCAAAACTCCCCCATCACAGGATTTCTGAGCACCACTAGGTGTGCTAGAGGAAAAGAGTGACAACGATCTTTGTGTGTTCATTTGTCCGTACCACTGGTCCTCAGTCCTGGTCCTCAGTCCAGGTCCGGGTCCTGGTCCTGGAGGACCACCATCCTGCATGTTTGAAGTGTTTCCCTGCAGGTCTTCAAGTTCTGCAGAATCCTGTTATTTACTCATTCATTCACATCAGGTGTGTCAAAGCAGAGAAACATCTCATACATGAAGGATAGCGGCCCTTCAGGACCAAGGTTGAACACCAATGGGTCTGTACCGTTAGCAAAATATCTCATGAACTAATCAATGGATGAAATGCATTCTTTCAAAAAATGCTTGTTTCATTGCTCGTTAGTAAATGCTGGCAGGAAGATGATCTAAAATCTGAGAGCACACCTGCATGAGAGCAGCAGCATCTGGAGGAATCTTCTCACCAACATCAGTATTTGTGTCAAACATGAGCGAGCTGTAGAACGGCTTCAGAGAGCTGCGGATGATTGGACACTAAATGGAGAGATTTGGATCAGCACCACATTTAAAGAAAAATAATTTTTAACACTAATATGTCAAGGAAATCTATGCAAGTCTTTTTCTGATGAAAGAACTGAACGACAGACACGAGCTCAATATTTCTCATATTTAAACCTTTTAAAAACCCTTTTTCTGTTTTAAAACAAGTCAGAAAACAGGTTTCAAATTAAATCCTAACAGCAACAAAAGAGATAAAAAAAAAACATTTCTGACTTCCAGATGTTGTGTGGCATGTTGTTTTGGAGTTCAGGACAGTACATACCTGCAAAGGTTTGAGTTTCTGAAACAAAATAAACTTTGTGAAGAACATGCATCAGTCTTGGTATTCGGGAAAGAACCGTTCAATTAAACTTGGCAAAAGTGGAAACAAGAAGTTTGCTGAAATAAGAGAGAACACAAAAACAAAGAAAAACTGGTTTTCTTAATGGGAGTGCAGCTGTTGGGCATTAAAGTGGTTAAAAGTAGTTGTATAATGAAGCATGGAGTGGGAGTGTTATGGTTTTATTTACCATTAAATACCTAAGGAATGTACAGACTTGATTTTATTTATTAATTTGTGCTGCTACTAAAGTTTTACGTGTGTATTATATTCTGATGTTTTTAATTTAATCTCTATTTACCCAGGTTAGTGTCATCAGCATACAAATTGACATGAAAGTCATTTACAGCATTGGTTACATATAGGACCAAGTACAGAGCCTTGGGGAACACCTTAGATAATGGGTAGTGGCTCTGAGAGATAAGATAAGACACCCATCCACCTATCCCAGTTATTGTGTGTGCCCTGAACAGTAACCATTGAAGGTTTTTGCTAAGTCAACAAAAAGCTAAAAGTTCAGTTCACTTTTAAAAAAATGTATAAAATAACTTCTAAACATTAATCTAAAATGTAAAGCTGTTTGGTCGATGGTGCAAAAAGAAAAACTCGAAAGATCTTTCAACTACAAAAAGTAAAAGTATTTTTTTCATTTCAGTTTCGACAACACAAACTCTTACAAGAACTTTGCATTTCTTAAAGGAATGCACATCACCCGCTGACTTTTACTTCAGAAATTAAAAAATTTAAATGAAAAGCGACCGAGTTGCTGTTTTAGAATAAATTCTTGCAGGATCCGTTAGCCCTCGTGGAAACCCTCTGAAAGTTCCTCCTGCGAGGAAGATGCTCTGATCCAAACTCTGAGGAGTTTGAGACGTCACTGAGACTCTGAACGTAAAAACCTTTGATTTTCTTTTCAGTTGATCTAAGTGGATCTTTTTTTTATTTCATTGTTTTGAAGAAGCGGCAGGGTCAGTACATCCTGAAGACACCTCAGACCAGGAAGTCTCCTTCAGACGTCTCTTGTCCGTCTCAACCGATGTCCATCATCAGCGTCTCTGCCTCGGAAGAACCGCCCTCCATCCGCCCCGCACCCAGACGCAAACACCCCCCTAAAAAACAGCAGCCTAAAGACATCCCCGTTCAGATCTTCTCTGCACCACCACCTCCATCTGTACCACCTCCTCCTCCACCACCCCCACCCCCTCCTCCACCTGCACCATCTATCATCCCACCACCTCCTGTCCGAGCTTCGCCCTCCTCTGAGGAAGCACCGATGCCCCTCAGTGAGAAGGAGGACCCTCCATTTCCAGCCAAGAACACGCTCAAACAAAATTTAGGTGAGACTTGTTTCTTTGTGGTTGTTGTTTCTTTGCTGAGGAGAAGGTGTCAGGCTTGTGTGGCTGTATAAGGTCCTTCCACCTGCTACTGTTTGCTAAATTAAATTTAGATTAAATTCTTTATAGACGTCACTCGTCCAATCCAACAAACGACACCAAACACGAGTCAGTAGCAGAATAAGCTTTTATTCAATCAAACATGTTTTTTTGTTTGTTTGTTACGTTTTTAAAGTGAAGAAAGGTTTTTATCTTCAGTTGGAGTTCAGATGGAGCAGGTCTGACGTATTTTCTTTCTGCTGGCAGAATGGGCCCGTTGGACTGGAAAATGTGTTTGGAGTGTGTGTGAATGCAGTGTTCTGTCCTACATTCCCAGCGTTTCCCTGGAGGACACACGAGACATTTTACCTCAGTTTTGGTCCCGTTGTCGAGCGTCCCTGAGGGACGGTTTTGTTCTCTCGGCTCTCGGAGGTCATTCGCAGGAAGTTCACCTCCAGGAATGTGCTGAATCAGAACACGCAACCATCGGTCCTGAACCGTTTTTAAACACGCGTCTGTTTTTATTTCTGTGTTCCTGCAGGAACGATGGACGAAGTTCTGGCCTCGCTGCAGCGTGGACAGATTAAACTTCGAAAGGTCCCTGCTGCCAAAACGGTTTCTGCCGAGGACCCGAGAAGTAACCTGATGTCCGCCATCCGACAGGGAGTCACCCTGAAGAAGGTGAGAGGGCTTCCTGTCGGTTCCGTCTGCGTCAGAAGTGTTCGCACTCCTCGACTCGTTTGGACCGTAAAGTCTTTTAAATTCTGCACCAACATTAATCCTTTTGATCTTTATCAGATCTGCTGATGGAAACCAAGATCTGAACAAAGATCTTTATTTTAGCCAAAGAGCCACAAAAGGAACCGGGGCTGTTGAAAAGTGCCAGACCAGCAGGTTCTACAAAGTTCTGCTGAACATAAATTTTATTATTTGCTCTAATCATTAACTTTTATTTGTCCTCTGAGGTCACACAGTCTAACCTTCTGTTGTTGGACTGTGGGAGGAACATGTAAACTCCACACCGCCAGGTCCAAACTGGTGATTGAACTCAGGAACATCTCGCTGTGAAGCAGCAGTGCTAACCACTTATCCACCGTGCCGTCTGTTAAGAATCGCCTCTGGATCTGGGCAACAGAAACCTGAACCGGTCAGATTGAGGATTTATTTAAAATATAAATAATTTTAACAGCTGGATCAAAAAAGCAAATTGCAGCAGTCGCGACGTCTCGGTCCCTGGACGTGTAGATGTTGGTGAACAGTCTGGACACAGAAGTTCTGATGAGAGCCCGCTCTGTTTTCAGGCGACACCAGATCTGAACCTCGTAATGTAGAAAACTGTGACAGGAACAGGAAACACCAGGTCTGGTCTAAATGGAAACTTTTCTCCGTCTTCTATCACTCCTCCGTGGTCGGGTCGTGGAGGCAGCAGGTCCAGAGAAGCCCAGACCTCCCTCTTCTCAGAGACCCACTCCAGCTCCTCCTGGGGCACCCCGAGGTGGTCCCAGGGTCCTGGCTCCTTTCATGCAGAGGAGCAGCAGCTCCACACTGACAGAGCTTTTGATGCAGACTTTAATGAAACAGCAACGCTTTGATTAATTAACACACAAGTTTATATTTGACAACAGATTTTAACTTCAAGTCTTTAACATCTTTTTAACAAATATATTTTTTGTGATAAAAGCCGTCAGAGTTTCGAGGAACGAGTGGAAACATCAGTTTTCAGGCTGAAGGCTTCGGCTGAGTTAAAGATTAAATCAAACGTCTCTGTGCCGCAGGTGGTTCCTGCACGAGCAGAAGTCCTGAGCGGCGGGGACAACGAGCTGGAGCGCAGCATCAAGGCTGCCATGATGAGGATGAAGAAGGTGGCGGCCGACTCAGATGATGAAGGTGATGAAGACTGTCAGAACCCAGACTGGGACAGCTGAGCTCATCTGACAGTTTCCTTCAGCAAAACGCTGCCTGTTTGATGGGATTACGCCTCAGACTTTAAAAGTTTAGTTGTTGTTTTTTTTAAAGCTGTCTCACAGTAATCCTCCTGGTTCTGTCGGGTCCAGACTGACTCCTGAATGTCAGAACCAGGAGGGGGTCTCCTCTGAAGGAGCTGCTGCTGTGCACAAATCCACCGAAGGCGGGATGGAAGCTGTAGCTCTGAACTGCACTGATTCAAGTTTCCTCCATCTGGATCTGGACATCTGGACACGTCTTCAGTCCATCACAGAGACATTGTCTCACTCACACCTACGGACAATTTGGTTATTAATGAACCCAATCTGGTGGTTTCTGGTCTGTGGAAAGAAACCAGAACCCGTAAACTCCACTCAGAAAGGCCGGGAGGTGAACACACAGCCTTCTTGATGTGAGGCGACAGCTTTAACCACTGTACCACAATGTCGCCCTAAAATGTTCCCGAGAAGTGTTTTAGTGAAGCGGCTGCAGAGCAGGACACGCAGATAACGCCTCTCTGAAACTAAAATCAATTTCTGGAATGTAACTTCAAACATAAACCTGATCTAAGGGCTCCACTCAACAAATAAAGCGTTTATGTTTTAAAGAGCAGCGGAGTTAAAGTGCTGAGGTCGTATTTCTCTGACCTGCGGCTGTTGGAGACGCAAAACTGAAAACAAGTTTTAATAATTACTGAATGACACAAACTAAAAGAACTTTGTGGGGAGTTTGTTTGGAGTCCAACAAGCTTCAGTTGAGCTTCTTCTCATCAGGATTGATCTCTAAATGTTTGAACGGTTCAAACCCTGACGACCTCCAACTCCCAGTCCGACGTCCAACATCCAGGCAAAGGTTTAAGAACCAGCCAACAAGGAGGTGCTTCTGTCCCACCTTCAGCTTCCTGGTTCTGCTCCGAGGTCTCCTTATTTGTAGCCATGTACACAAACCATGATTTTTTAAAAGTCATCCGCACGTCTTGCTGGTCGACAGTTTCATCTTCCTTCAAACTCCTGTCTGATATAATAAACAATAATCTAACAACAAACAAACCCGGTTCACCACAGATTATTAAACTGAGCCAGTGTCTGTTACTTTAAAAATAAATATTTTATTTCACTCGTCTGAGTTTTGCTGCATGTTTTTTTTTGTTGTTTGTTTCACCTGGTTCTGAAGGACATCCTTGCTCTTCCTGCGTCACTCGTGAATCCATGACTGGCGGCTGCCGGGTCCGTGGCCGACCCGGCAGCCGCCGCTCCCACACGCCTCACACGTCCCCGGCCAGTTCTGACCCGCTGGGTTCTGTGTGGGCGGCAGAGGGGAGACGGGTCACGCACCTCGGGGAGGACGCGCACGGCCGGCGTTCTGACGGACCAGTCGATCGTGCATCAGACATGAAGTTCCCCAGCCTGTTACCATGGTAACATGTGGTACCATCACACACACACACGCACGCACGTCTCTGCCTGCCCACACACCACCGGTCGCACAATGAGCCTCCATCACAGACAGACAGGCCGTTTCTGCTGCAGCTCAGGTTTTAATCATATTTTATTTCACCAACTTTGAATCCATTGAATAAATTCTGTGTCGAGTTCTCAGCCGTGAGTCCAACGTTGAAGCTGAAACGTTTGTAACTTATGACGAGGGGACCTCCACCGCTCTGAGGCTTCAAACGCTTCAAGACGTTCAGTCTGAGGGAAACAACCAGATTTAAAGGTTTTAGATTTCGTGTTCGTTTTCCTCCCACAGCTGGAAAACGTTTAGATTTTACCGACAGTTTCTGTTTGTTGCTTTGATTTTTGTCGAAATGACAGATTTCAGGAATGTGGTGTTAGAGAGACATGATTATTAAAAGGAGTTTATTTTTGTAGTTTTCTAGAAATATTTCTGAAATTCTAAAACGCACCGAATGTAAACAAACACTCTTCTGAAGGGAAACTTAAGTGACAGGCGTTAGGTCGGCCAGAGTAACAAATATGGCCGAATGAGAAATGTGGAAAGAATCTGATGCTAAAGGAACAATTAAAACGACAACAGGAATAAATCGATGAATATCAGGGATTAGGCAGAGCGACTTTTACACCTCTACAGTTCGTCTTTTTGTTTTTCATCTGGTCAAACATCTGAACTCATCGACGTCCCAAGCGCAGAATTTTCTCTTCAAAACTGGAAGTGCTCTTTAATTTGTCACATCTCCTCCTCAGGAAGCCGATCAGATCAGAGCCTTCGGCTGCTCGAACGATTCCATCAGATCAGAG